ATGCATTTTTGACTTTTAAGTGTCTTAAATGCCAACTAATATGTTTTTGCTAAGTAGCATTTAATGTTTGAGAGTCAAGTTTGCAGAACGTTGTGAAAGTAAAGCAGTGGAGTAACGCAAACCTTTTCCCATTAGCTGGCCCCGACATATCTGATGCAGTCCACTTGGCTGGATGAAACAATTAATGCTGTGGTTGCTGGGCTCAACAGAGCTGTATACATACGGGACTTAACACCTCGTTTAGCATCTAGCCGTAAACGCAAGACTGGTAAGTAAGGACATATATGAAGGAATTATTTTAGATAAAAGTACTTGCATGAACAGATGATGTGTGAAGAAACTGAAGTTGCTTCTGATGATAAAATGCTTTTTTTTTCTCTCCCCTCTGTTTCGTCACCTGTGCAGGAAAGCACAAAAAGGTGAAAAGTAGGAAGACATCTGCTAAAAATGGTAAAGTGTCTAGCACGGGAGTCAAGAGGAGGAAACGAAAAGTAAGGAGGAATAAATCTAGGAGAAGGATGGTAAGTCTATTATCAACATCAAACATTTATATATGTGATTTTAAACATTCTTCATTTTCATTTCAACAATGGAAATTTCTATTGTAGTCCTATGAAAGATTTCAAGAACAACTCTTTTCCTGTTAGATGATGAAGAAGGTTGCCACTCCACGAAGCCGTATTGCTAATAGTCTTGGAATTGTAAAGGACAAGAAGAGCTCGTCGCTTCCAACAGTTTATAGGCCATCAGAGCACACACTAAGCAATATGCGTGTTGACATAGGAGCTGCATCCCTCTCTATCTATGGAGACCCATTTGATTTGGATCCATTTGTGGATCGGTAAGAGACTCTCAGCTTTATATACAAAGATTAGAATATCATTAAGTTCATATTTATGTAGTTTCATTTAAAAATAATCTGCCTTCATATAATTCTATATTTGTTAGGCGCATAGTGAAATATTTCTAGCCTTTCTTTTTATTTATTTATTCTAAGATCAATCAAAGACAGATTTCTAAGAAAATTATTGTGTCAGTGCAGTGTAGCATGAAAGCTATCAGCTTTTTGTACTGCTGTGGTGGTTGTTTAGTAGTAGCCTTTAGCTCATCTGTATTTTTAAAATTGGGTGTTTCTCATTTTCATATTGGCAGCAAACCATAGATTGTCTCTGGGTTTCAGGGAAGACTGGGTGTCTGGCCCATGACAGCAATGACAGTCAGCAAACCCATTGGTATTTTACCTGTTTGAACAGCAGTTTATTCAAGCTTGAAATTAAATCTTCTAATATTTATCAAACTGTCAATTACAAAAATGAAAAATGAAATGTTTTTGTTTTTTACATATCACAAGTGCAGAATATGTTGAATGTTTAATTTCTTAAATAACTGATGAAAAATACTGATTTTCAAAATTTGAGTAGCACCCGTAT